CCTATGCAAAATTGGAGAACTTGTATACAAAAAAAATAAAAATGAACAAAACAACAAATGGTAATAACAAAGTGTGACAAGGAAATGCATAATCGAGAGGCATGAAAAAAAACATGACCTTGACATTTGAAAATTTAGACATGCTTATATACTACTAAAACATGGACAAGACCACACTAAAGCAAGCGTGAATTTTAAGCCAAAATTAACTCATTACTACCATTAACAGTAAAGCAACACTTACTGATTTCAAGAGATTATGAATGGAGAAAATCATTTTGAATAATCTAAACACATAGATGAAAAGAAAGAAAGAAAAAAAAACACTTAATTTTTGCCTTAAACTAAAGCACATATAGACAGCCAACTTGAGTTTCTGTGTTTCAACAAGGAACGACATGATTCATTCACAAATTTGCAGATTAAACTAACATTAAAGAAGTACCGGAATAAATAGTCTAAATGAACCGAACGGAGAAATATATTGAAAACCAACAGGTAAGCTCAACGTAGGGGCCCAAGTAAGTTTTGAACTTTTTCGAGTAGAACAAAACAGAAAATAGGCTATTTTTGAAACAAAACAGGCACATGTCGAAGCCAAGAGACTAATCCTACAACATTCCACTACTCCATACAGCATCCCGTCACTATTAACTTGAAATAATCAAAGGGGAAGCGAAATAGCAAAGGAACATGTACCTTCTTTGGAGCAGCGAACTCGGGACAAACGGGCTGGAACGAGCGATGACCTTTCCCACGAATGAAACTTTAAACAATCTCGGTGGACAGAGAACGAAAAAGAAGATTTAAATCCGAGCTTCTACGGCCTTTTCCTATCTCATATGTATTTTTTATGTGTATCAGTGCTATTTCCTTACTATTTTTCTCTGTTTCTTTCTAATGTCTCCAATCTATATTTCCAACTCTATTTTTCTTTTTCTTTTTTTTCGTTTCTTCCCAAATTTCTTCCTGATCTTTTTTCTTTTTGACAATGAAAACAGGACCGCCTTTAAAGGGAAAAAATCTGGTTCCAAATTGGGGGGAAAAACCAGATCAAAATCGGATTTACGGGCCAATTCAAAATTCAAAATGCCAAAATCTTTCACAATTCAGGACAAACACCTTTTCCCTGAAATTTCGTCCCATTCCGAAAGAGGAAATAGGGACATGCACTTGCTTGGCTGCTGCTACGACATTAATAAGGATAGGGACGTTTGGAGAAGAAAACAAAATTGCAGCGTACTGCTCACTGCTGCTGCTTTCCGTCTATCTTGCTGACGCCGTGAGTGAGCTGTTGCCGTGTATTTGACGTTGTATCGTTGTGAAGCTGAAGTTGTCGTTAGCTGCTGATATTTGTTGGGTTAGCGTGGAATGTTTGGAGAAGTTTCTGGGTTTCTTTATGAAGGAAAAGGGAAGGTGGGCCGGGTTAAAGGGGAATTGGGTCGGTTTGGGTGTGAATTGGTATGCTGTATGTATTGTTGTGTATTTGGGCTGGGTATTATTGTGGGATTGGGTCGGCTGTTGCATTGAGGAAGAAAAGGGTACTAGTTAGGTGAATGTACTGTATTGTTACTGTGGAAAAGAATGGATGAATTATTTGTTAAATTGGAAAATTTGGAATGGATTATTTTAAGTTGGAAAGTAGGCCTAACTTGGTTTTTCTCAAAATTGAACCAAGGACAAGGGAAAAACGGCTAGCATAAAGTAGCCACGTAGGTTTCAAACTTAGGCAATTTAAATTTAATACTTAGCCAATTTGATCAAACTTAATAAATTTAGCTAATAATTAAATAAGACGAATTAATATTAATTAATTAACGAGCTTCTTAATTTCAATGAAATAGAATAATCAATTTAGTTATAAACTAAATAGTTAAAAATATAAACTATTATATAACCAAAATTAATTAACCAAATATTTAATTAAAACAAAATCTTTTTGAGACTATTTTCAAATATTCATAAAATATACTAATTGCTATATACATAATTATGTAAACCATATATATTATTCAAAAGATTATAAAAATGACAAAATTACTTTAAACTGACTTGAAAAATATAGTGAATTTTATAAAGTCAATTATTTCAATTAGTTCGGAATTTAAGAAGCTCAATGATTAATTTACATCGGGGAGGGTCGAAATTGGGTGTCAACAGTTACTGATATCAAAAACTATACGAAAAATTGCAAAAAGACACTTTAGGGTAAAGGGCAAATAAGAGTAGTTTTTATTGGTAAAAGAAAATAACTAATTAATCACTAAATCAGTAAAAGTAGTGTACAATATAAATACTCATATAATAGAAGGTAAGGCAAAAGCACGAGTGAAACTAATCCATAATAGAGTCCGATCACAACGATGGAATTGATTATCTTCATGCATAAGAATACTAGATTACCTAGTAGAAAAGATTGAAAAATCATCACAAACCTCCCTTAGTTCTTTTCTATTGCAATTTCTGGATTATTATATGATGATTTTTGAACTTTCCATATATAGAAAAAGAAATAGACTAAAAACGACATTTGTTATGTCAATAACACCAAAGGGATATTAAATGAATGGAATTGGGATATGGTTCCCTCTGAAATGAGGCATGTAAGGGAGCCACTACGAAGAAGTTCTTGCTTAGAAGCTCAATCATGAAGCCACTGCTTCATGCTTGGATTACATAAGTGCTTTAAAATAAATTAGCCAGCAAGTTCAGGGAACTCTGTTCTCACAGATATAGGGCTTCTTACTCTGTGCACCCCGTCAGTCCAAGTTAAGCTCCCGAAATTATAACCTGTGTTGTATTTGTGAGTGGTTGAAATAGTAAGAGTGAAAGAGATTTTCTCGATGCTGGAGTTGAATATCAAAGTTTCAGGCATTACTTTAATGGTAATGCCCAGTGGAGGCTCGATGATAGCCTTATATTGAGAGTTCACTGGTCCAACATTGGTGACGGTTCTCTTAACAGTAACTGTTTTTTTGAGACTTGGTATTGTTAAAGAAGGAAGATTGAAATCAAGAATCGAAGGCATTTTGTTTGCACAAGTAACAAATCTGTTAGTGATTCTACTGATGGCACTTGTGTTATAGCCCATAGGGCATAAATAATTAAAAACATAGTCAGACTCTCCCATATCATAAACTAGGCCAGGATCATTTGCGCCATTTGCATTCACGAGTCCACCACCGAAATCAAATGGATCAGCAATTTTATCTGTATTTCCCTTAGCTATAATTGGTTCTCCAGAATGAGGGTCCGTTTGCCATGCTGCATGTACAATATGACAAGTTGATTAGAAGCACCAAAAGATAAACAAAGCAAATGGCAAATTAAACAAGATCTTGTAAAAGACCTGTTGTAACAAGTGCAGACTTGATAGCAGCTGGAGACCAATGTGGGTGCAAGGACTTAAGCAACGCGGCAATGCCAGAAATGTGAGGAGCTGCCATGGATGTTCCTGAATCAAACTCGTACGGAGTTTCTTCAGGAGGAACAGCAGCCAATATATTGACTCCTGGAGCTGCTATATCCGGCTGCAACATTATCAAACATTAATTTAGAATGAATAATTCATATACTATTGCGTTTCTATTTACTAGATGTAGGCAATGCATAGTAAAGTCATACCTTAAGTATTGCAGGGGCAACAGAATTAGGACCTCGAGATGAGAAGGATGCAATATGAGTTGAAACAGGTATCCCAACATGAGTTTTTGGAGCACTCAACTTAACTTGTGGCTTCCTACATTATTTCTTAACAGTGGTTTTAAACAGCTAATGAAGTAATTTAAGATTTCTCTATAGTAAAATGAAAAGAATCAGACATCTTCGTTTACCTGGCGTATCTTATGTAATCAAGTAATTGAGCTCCAACATCAAAACTTACTCCAATACTTGGGAAATCAGATGCGTAAATATTCAAGTCTGTGGTTGGGTTCTTAGCAACAATCAATCCCAAGCCGCCAACCTCCTGTAATACTTCTTGAGTTGTTGATAGTAGTAAGTCATCCCCTTGAACGAGGAAGCAAAGCACCACATTTCCAGCCGCCCATGTATCATTTGCATTTAACTTGTCGCAGTAGCTTCAAAATCCATTAATTTGTGCCTTTTAGCTTTCATCAATCAAGTTTAATTAAAAGAAACTCCTTTAAAGAAATACACATTTAGCCCTCAAAAATGACATAAACAAAGAAAAATGGGTCTGTCTGATTTGATTCCTTGTTGACGAATTATGTACAACATCTTATTAGGAACATACCATTTTCTTTCTGGATAAACAATGTTGATAAAATTAGTCTCCTTTCCAGTATACAGGGATTGACCCTACAGATAATTATAGCGTTATCAAAACAAATCTTTTTGGGTATTCATTGTTATGTTATACATAATACATATAAATTTATTTAATTAAGAGAACTTACAACGAAAGTCCGGTTGTTGCCTAATGTAATGAGTGTGGGAAAGGACCTATCAATACTTGAAGCTGCTACAGTTATTATCCATGGTGATGTATCATCTACTGTTTGGGTAATTGGACCTTCATTTCCACCTGAACAAACAACTGTAATTCCCCTGCCGACAGCATGATAGGATGCAAAAGCAATGCCATTGCGCATATCAACATCAGCGTACTGAGGTGTGGTTAAGCCTATGGATATGGATAAAACATCAACTCCATCATTAATTGCTTCATCAATGCCCTTTATTATATCAGCAGAGTTACATACTCCACTGTCCCAACACACCTTGTACATAGCAATTCGAGCTTTGGGTGCACCACCCCTAACTGTCCCATAAGCAAGTCCATGGTAACTTGCATTTGGTGCAAAGGATCCAGCCGCGGTGCTTGATGTGTGTGTGCCGTGTCCATTTCCATCCCTTGGTGACGCGAACTCATTCTTAAGAAATTGCCTTCCAAGCTCTGCTTCAAAACCTTTTAGAAAGTATTTCGCTCCAATTAGTTTCTTATTGCATGCCTTAGCTGGATCAAAATCTGTACCAGACTGACAGTGGCCCTTCCATTTTGAAGGGATTGGCCCAAGGCCTTTGTCATTGAACGCTTCACTTTCTGGCCATATTCCTGTAGTTTGAGTGAGTAGGTATTTTATGTAAACATATGGCACCTGGGCCTAACTCAATCCCAAAAGCTAGCTCATGCGGGGAGGTTTGTCCAAGTCCATATAAGGAGACCAAATTCCCATTCCTCTACCGATATGGGACATCATAACATTTTAGAGTTATGAAAATATAACAAGTGATCACCTTGTGCATCATTACGTACTTAAGACTGCAGCAATTATTCCTTCTAATAGAAATTCTTGCCTCTATGAATGCATTTATCAAAAGATTGTTTTTCCATTTGACCCACACAAAGAATCAGGAAAGGAAAGAGGAAAACCTGTATCAAGAACACCAATGATGACGCCATCTCCCATGTTGGCTTCATGAAGGAGGTTTGTTGGAGGAGAAGATGTGGACAGGCCAAGGTAATCCCAACTTCTTGTTGTGTGTAACTTGTACAAGTGATTTGGAATCACATGGACCACATCAGGTAACTCTGCAACAAATTCAATGAGGGGACAACATGGAAATATCACGCGATTCCAATTGAACTATAGCGTGCCCAATTTAACCAACAAGTATGTCATCTTCAAACTTTTTTTGAAGTCCTACTTTACCAGCTTGAGAGAGATATTGCAAAGTACTACTACATTTTACCTGCAATCTTTTTGGCTTGAGATTTTGTTAACGTGGCTGCAAAGCCGGAGAAACCATGCTTATAACTATAGATGATTGAATCTCTTGCAGCTTCTGGACTGCATCAGGATGAAACATGAAGTTGTGAACTAAATAGTCTGCACATATTAGTTCGGAGAGAAGAGAAAACTAATTTGTTGATCTTTCCTCAGTTACCTTCCCAGTACAAAAGTAAGTATTTGATGGTGAGCTGATGTTATGAGTTCAATATCATCATGTTGCCTTCTTCCCATGTAAACGATATGAACCTATATTTAGCAATCATTACTCATACTATTAGTTTTACAGTGAAACGAAATAGTGAATTTTCCTGAGTTGTGTTCAATATGTAAACATAAAAGAAATTGCAGAATAGGTTGTTGTAATATCTACTCACTTTGCTTTCAGTATTTGCTTGAATTCCTAAGAAGTCCGACAAGTTCAAGAAAAGGAGTAGAACAGTAAAAGCCAATTTATATTGAAGAAAGTGGCTGATACTCATTATGTGGTATATAGGACTAGTTAAACAGAGACATAATTGTTGCAGATTGATATCCATTATTTATAACCATTTATAGATGGAAATCGTGCGATTTAGAATCTGATCATGATGTCTTCTTCTTGGTGTCATGATCCAAAAGATAGAGGCATCACGAAAAGTTAGCTTAATTATTCCGTGGCCAAGAACAAATGCTAAAAAGCACCAAGCACAAAGGGGTTCTTTAGCATGTGGTAATATAATACATGCAATAAATTATAAGGTAAGATGGGATTGGAGAATATGCTGATTATGAAACGCATTTAATAATGTTTGAAATGTAATCATGTTTGAATTATATATGGTACTTATTAAACAGTGGAATCATTTCATTAGTTAATTTATAGCTGCAACTTGTGACTGGTTTTACTGATGCAAATTGCTCTATAAAAGTAGCATCTGTATTTTGTACTATAAAAGCAGCCAGACACACTAAGCGGGCTATACGCTATACCATAGGTGCCTGAATATTGTGAAATTATAGACAAAATAAATTGCAGATTAACTAGAATTCCCTTATAAAATGAAATTAGATACTTCCTCCATTATTAGTATGTGGTGCCAAAAGTGGCGGGGCAATGTGAGTGCTTATATTATTGGTTAACTTGAAGTTCACACTGTCTTGTATGTCAAGCTAGGGGTGCCCCATGCAGCAAAGTATGATTGATCATATTTCGACAATGTTCTATGTTTCTATCATCATTAATTAGTTTACGAAAGTTCACTTGTCTAATCTTTGATTTTTTTTTTATTAGCTTACAAAAGTTCTATCACATCTTGTCTAGCTTTTCGAACTCTTCCTGCCAAAACAAGATCTATTGTTTAGAGCTTCAACTAGGGGTGAGATATGTTGAGTTGAGCTTAATTCGAGCAGATTAAAATGAATTGAATTAATAATAATAGGGACAGATTTCCTAAGAGTCAGAATTTGTTCTCTCGCTCCTTGCTGGAGGAGCGGCATACCATTAAAAAAAGTCCAGTGTTCAATTTTTAACCTCAGTAAGAAAAGGATTTCCGCCAGAATTTCTGTTCTTCTTCTCATATTTTTCTCCTTCCATTGTTTATTTGTGGTTGATATTGAGTGGGTAATGTTTCATTCAACCTATATTGTCGTCTATCTTTAATAATAACAACAACAAACTTTTTTGAAGAAGACAAAATGGGTTAATTTTGACGGTTTTGGTTGAATCCAACTATTGAAAATTGTTGGGTTGCTGTTAAAATTCGAAGTCATTTGGATCAATTTTGAAGTAAAAACAATTTGGTGAATTTCTACACCACATGTTATGCGTATCCACAGGATTTAGCCACAAATCTTGATGGATAGCCAGATAGATACCAAAATTTAACCACAAATCCTGATGGATACCAGAATTTCAGCCACAAATGCTGAATAAATGATGGTGATGTGTCAAGACTAGACCAAAATCCTGACAAATCAACATAACTTGCTATTAGGGATAGTCTTGACTCTTGACTAATATCAAATACGAAATCGTAGCGAATGCTCGAATTTTACTTAGAAATCCTAACAAATCACCATAGTCTGGTCTCACCCCAGAAACTGGAGTTCCTGACTGCGTCAATGATGGGAAAATCTACTTAAAGGGCGAAAAGTATGACCCATTTTGATTATAAGCTTGAATTGCGTGATTAAGAAAGTTTTAACACTCCTGATTTTGTTTTAATTTTGTTGTGTTCTCTTGCCTAATTGGTATTACCCTTTAGTTGGTCCAGTGTTTTAGTCTACTGTGATAATTTATAAAAGTTGTTCTATTTTTGAACTCATCGAGTCATCGTAAGGGAGATTCTTCTTTTACTATGAAGTTATAGTAAAGGGAAGATAAGAAGATTTATCTTGCAGAGACCTTCAGTCAAGAATCCACTGGTACATACTCACTTAGATTACACACGTGCATTGAGATAAATTAACAAACTCTTGCATCCATCGTTTACTCTAGCCAACAAGTTCTGGAAACTAGTTTCTCACAGATATAGGACTTGTTACTCGGTGCAGCCAGTCAGTCCAAGTTAAGCTCCCGAAATAATAGTCTGTGGTGTATTTGTGACTGGTTGAAATGGTGAGAGTAAATGAGATTTTCCTGGTGCTAGAGTTGAATATCAAAGTTTCAGGATTTACTTTTATGGTAATGCCTAATGGAGGCTCAATGATGGCTTTATATTTGGAATTCACTGGTCCGAAGTTGGCGACGGTTCTTGTAACTGTAACTGTTTTCTTGAGACTCGGTATGGTTACAAAAGGAAGATTAACTTCAAGAATTGAAGGCCTCTTGATTGGACAAAATGCAGCTTGATCAATGAGCATACTGATGGCTCTATTGTTATAGCCCTTTGAGCACAAATAAAGAATGTAGTCAAAGGTTCCCATATCATAGACTAGGCCAGGATCTTTTGCAGCATTTGCATTCACGAGTCCACCACCGAAATCAAATGGATCAGCAATCTTATTTGGATTGCCCTTAGCTATAATTGGTTCCCCAGAATGAGGGTCCGTTAGCCATGCTGCATGCACATCAATTAATTCAAACATTAGATAATTTTCGAGGCAAATTAATTTTGAATCTTGTTGGAGAAATGAGATTTTTCTAAGGACCTGCTGTGACTAGTGCAGACTTGATAGCAGCTGGAGACGTGCAGGGACTTGAGCAACGCGACAATGCCAGAAATGTGAGGAGCTGCCATGGACGTTCCTGAATCAAACTCGTACGGAATTTCTGCTGGAGCAAAAGCAGCCAATATATTAACTCCTGGAGCTGCTATATCTGGCTGTAACATCACACTATAATTTAGAAATGTGATGCAATATCACAATTAATAAGTGCTAGATAGTGTGCAAGATGTATAATAAAGTCTTACTTTAAGTATGGCAGGGGCAACAGAATTGGGACCTCGGGATGAGAAGGACGCAAGATGTGTTGAAACAGGTTTCCCAACATGAGTTGTGGCAGGACTCAGCTTTACTTGTGGTTTCCTGAATTATTTCTTAACTAATGGTTATAAGCACCAAGAGAAGTAATTTAAGATTTCTCTATAGCAAAAAGGAAAAGAATCAGATATTTTCATTACCTGGAGTATCTGATGTAATCGAGTAATTGAGCTCCAACATCAAAATTAACTTCAATACTTGGAAAGCCAGACGCTAAATAGTACAGAGCTCTGGTTGGGTTCTTAGCAGCAATCAATCCCAAGCCTCCAACCTCCTGGACAACTGGTCGAGTAAATGGCAAATACAACTCATCTCCTTTAACATGGAAGCAAAGCACTACTTCTCCAGCCGCCCATGTATCATTTGTATTCAAGTTGTTGCAAAAGCTTCAAAATCCATGAATTCATGCTAATTTAGCTTGCAACAATAAAGTTATAAAAGACCCCTTTGAAGACACAGAAATGACTGTCGGAGATGGAAAAAGTTTAACAAGAAAAATGGGGCTGGTTAATTTGGATATCTGTTGATGACTTATAGTAGCTAATTTATTAGAAATATACCATGTATCTTCAAGCTCAGAGCTTTCTGGATGTGCAATGCTGATAAACCAGTCTCCTTTCCAGTATACATGGATTGACCCTACAGATAATAACGTTTGTTTTCTTTTTCTTTTCAAGTATGATAAGAGAACTTACAGAAAAAGTCTGATTGTTGCCTAATGTAATGAGTGTGGGAAATGACCTATCAATACTTGAAGCTGCCACAGTTAGGATCCATGGTGATATATTCACTACAGTTTGGGGATATGGTCCTTCGTTTCCTCCTGAACCAATAACTGTAATCCCCTTAATGACAGCATGGAAGGATGCAAAAGCAATGCCATTGCGCATATCAACATCAGCGTACAGAGGTATTTCTAAGCCAAGGGATATAAAAAAACTATCAACTCCATCATGAATTGCTTCATCAATAGCCATCAGCAAAGGTACATCCTCCTATAAGCCAATTCCAGCACACCTTGTACATAGCAATCCGAGCCTTGGGTGCACCACCCTTAACTGTACCATAACCAAGTCCTTGGTAACTTGCATTGGGTGTGAACAAGCCACCAGCAGTGCTTGACGTGTGGGTGCCATGTCCATCTCTATCCCTTGGTGACGCAAGCTCAAACTTGAGAAAATCAGGATCCTTGATTGCTGGCCGTCCAGCCTCTGCTTCAAAACCCTTTAGATAGTACTTTGCTCCAATTAGTTTCCTGTTACATGCCTTAGCTGGATCAAATTTTTCACTAGACTGACAATGGCCCTTCCATCTTGAAGGGATTGGCCCTAGGCCTTTGTCATTGAATGCTTCACTTTCTGGCCATATTCCTGTATTTTGAGTCATCAGTAGGTACTTTAGAGTTTTGAAAACATAACAAACAATTTTGTACTTTTACAAAGACTGTACAGTAACCTTTTCCTCTACTTGAGGTGGAAGTAAGTTCTGCATACATTCTACCTCTCCCAGACCCAAAAGTGGGATTATACTGGATATGTTGTTTTTTGCAGTAAGCTTATCTTGTTCTAGAAATTCTTGTCTTTATGAATGGATTAATAAAAGAGGAAAACCTGTATCAAGGACTCCTATGATGATACCGTCGCCCATGTTGGCTTAATGAAGAAGGTTAGTTGGAGGAGAAGATTCGGAAGGGCCAAGGTAATCCCAACTTCTTGTTGTGTGCAATTTGAACAAATGATTAGGAACCACATGGACCACATCAGGTAACTCTGCAACAAATTCAATGAGGGGAGATAGCATGGAAGTATCACATGATTCCAACTGAACTATAGCGTTAAGCTTTTATGTGCCAAATTTAACCAACAAGTATGTCACGTTCAAACTTTTTCGGAAGTCCTACTTTACCAGCTTGGGAGAGAGATTGCAAAGTACCTGCAATCTTTTTGGCTTGAGATTTAGTTAACCTGGCTGCAAAGCCAGAGAAACCATGCTTAATTATAACTATAAATGATTGAATCTCTTGCAGCTTTTTGACTGCATCAGGAGAAAACATTAAGTTATGAATTAAATAGTCTGCGCATATTAATTAGAGTGTAGAGGAGATAAGAGCAGAGCAAAGAAGAGAAGATTAATATGTTGATCGTTCCTTTGGTTACCTTCCCAGTACTGAAGTAAGTAATTGATGGTGAGCTGATGTTGCGAGTTCAACATCATCGTGTTGCCTTCTTCCCATGTAAACGATATGAACCTACATTTAACAATCATTTCTGATACTATTAAATTCTCAGTGAGACAAATAATGAATTTCCTGAGTTGTCTTTACTATGTAACCATACCAAACGACCCGTAAGAGTTGGAGTTGATGCGTCGCGAGTTGATTTAGAACAAAAACTAATAGATACAACTGATGTTGAAAATTCTTGGCAGCATGTTTTGCAAGTTGAAACAAGAATGCAACTAAAAATTGGACACTGGTTGCACACAAAAATTCAAAATAGTAGTCGGACCCTTTTCCCGACTAGTCAAAATAATATTCCATGTAGTGGACAGGGTGCGACTGGAAATTTTCAAGACAGTGAGAAGAAGCAAGATATTAGTAATGCCTCAAGAGACCTATTAAAGGCTAACAAAAAAGATGTTAATATTATGGCTCCAACATTATATCTTTCTAATCCTGAGGTAGCTAAGATTATTCAAGAAAATCCGGATGTCATGCTACTCAAATCCAATCCAGCGATTAAGCCACTCATGGTCACATTGAATACCTCGACTCATAAGATCTCATCCCCATCTTTGGAGTCGCTTGGTGAATCTGGACAACTAATAAGGTCAACAGAGAATGACAACGATTTGGTCCAAGAAGAGCAGGTTTCACCACCTGCTATGAATAACAAATTAAGCCCAGAAGCTCCCGTATTTGTGCCTAAATGTGTGATTGCAAAGAAGAATGAATCAAGGGCATTAGCGTCAAATACAATTGATTTGGTCGAGGATTCTCTTGATGAAGATGAGGAAGAGGTGGACATATGCTTTGATAGAGTTGTTAGGGACGGGGATATATCACCTAGACAACAAAGAAGTGGAAGCAACAAAAGCAAAAAGAAGACACATGGAAGGCAACATAGTTGGAACGGTAAAGTGACTAAGGAGTTTGTTCCAAGGATGCGACAGGCAAAACAGAACCATATGACAGTATCAATAGGTTCAACGAGATCCAATAAATCCAAAAAAAATGTATGAATTATCAAGTGTTGTTGGATAGGTTTGAAGAAGAAGACAAAAGAAAAATACTTTAAGTTACTTTTGATGGGCAATTAATCTTTTTTAATTCATGCTTTCGTAATAGAAAGTTTGAGGCTGATAATTCAACCTTCTTCTTGATTGTCATATTTTTACATTTTTAAGCATCCTTACTTGTTATATCATCATGGAGTGTATTACAAAACTCTGTGGTGATCACAAGATACTTAGTTCTTTCTAGCTCTTATTTTTTTCATGCTTGCTAGTTAGTAGAAGTTAGGTACTTCATTTCGATTGGTATGATAAGGCCTACCCCCCCGCCTCCTCACTTGTAATATCATCATGGAGTGTATTACAAACTCTGTGGTGATAACAAAATACTTAGTTCTTTCTAGCTCTTATTTTCTTCATGCTTGTTAGTTAGTAAAAGTTAGGTACTTCATTTGGATTGGTAAGGTAAGACCTAGGAAATTGTATGATTTTAGTGTGATGTTTCCTTTTAAATTCAGCATTTGCCCTACCAATTTTGGCCATCATTTTTTTTATGTAATGAAGGTCTAATTTTAATTATTCAGCTATTAATTTTTAAATTTGTTTGTTTGAAGGTTTGAATTGTAATCATTAAGTGCATTTGATTTTCTTATATTACAATTACTTAATGAATTCGAATGATTAAGATCTCTAACAAAGTCTTTGACCTTATTTGTTTTCATTAAAACTAAGATGTGCATTAAAATTGAAAGATCTTAATCTGAATATTAAGATGTTGCATTAAGATCTTAATATGAAATAGTTAAGACTGTATTTCTCAACATCTGAATGCATAAAAATTGTCTTTGTTTAAAAAATAATAAATATACAATTCAAATAAAATACTAAATTGATTTAATATTATATCAATAAAACATTTTAAATTTTTTATATGGTTGGCGGTGGTGATGACTAACTATGACTATTGTATGTCGATTTAGGATGGTGTTGTTGACTGATGATGGTGGTTATGAATAATATCATATCGTATAGTGGTTGACAATAGTGATTAACTGTGGTTGTTGTTGGTGTGAACAGATAATTAGTAGTGGAATGATATTAATAACTAATGATGATGGTTAGCAATATAAAATGTTGAATAATGATGATAATTATTTGTATTGATTAGTTGGAATGATCGCTAATGATGGCGACAATTGATTTAATCGGCGGTAATGGTGGTTGTTGTGTCTACATGACTACAATACTGAGAATGGTTGTGTCTACATGACTACAATACTGAGAATGGTTGTGTCTACATGACTACAATACCGAGAATTTATATGATTAGTTCCTGTATCTATATTTTAGGCCATTGTATGGGAGATTCTTCTTTTTTCTACTGGTTATATAGTGAAGGAAAGATAAAAATATTTTTCTTGCATAGAAGCTCAGTCGTGAAACCACTGCTTCATACTTAGATTACATAAGTGCATAGAAATAAATTAACCAACTCTTGCATCCATCTTTTACTTTAACCAGCAAGTTCAGGGAACTCTGTTCTCACAGATATTGGGCTTCTTACTTTGTGCACCCCATCAGTCCAAGTTAAGCTCCCGAAATAATAGCCTGTTGTGTATTTGTGACTGGTTGAAATGGTGAGAGTGAATGAAATTTTCGTGGTGCTGGAGTTGAATATCAAAGTTTCAGGCTTTACTTTTAAGGTAATGCCCAGTGGAGGCTCAATGAAAGCCTTATATTTGGAGTTCACTGGTCCGACGTTGGTGACTGTTCTTTTAACAGTAACTGTTTTCCTGAGACTTGGTATTGTTAAAGAAGGGACATTGAAATCAACAAGGGAAGGCATTTTGTTTGCACAAGTAACAAATCCGTTAATGATTCTACCGATGGCACTTGTGTTATAGCCCATTGGGCACAAATAACTAAAAACATAGTCCGAGAATCCCATGTCATAGACTAGGCCAGGATCTTTTGCAGCATTTGCATCCACGAGTCCACCACCAAAATCAAACGGATCAGCAATCTTATCTGTATTTCCCTCAGCTATAATTGGTTCCCCTGAATGAGGGTCCGTTTGCCATGCTGCATGCACAATATGGCAAGTTGATTTAGAAGCACCAAAAGATAAACAGAACATATGGCAAACTACGTCTGCATGGAGTAAGGACCTGTTGTGACAAGTGCAGACTTGATAGCAGCTGGAGACCAATGTGGGTGCAGGGACTTGAGCAACGCAACAATGCCAGACACGTGAGGAGCTGCCATGGATGTTCCTGATTCAAATTCGTACGGAGTTTCTGCAGGAGGAACAGCAGCCAATATATTGACTCCTGGAGCTGCTATATCTGGCTGTAACATCAGACATTAAGTTTAGAAATATGGTGCGATATTTAGAAGGTGCAAGTAGCACATGATATCAAGGATAAAATGAGATCAAGTCGCTTGGAATGGTTTGGTCTGGCCAAGTCGATTTCCAAATGCATTGGTCTGTTGGTGCGAAACCATGGTGAGTGAAGGTGTTAAGAAGAGGAAGACCTAAAATTACTTGGAAAAATGTTGTCTCGAAAGACCTACAATTTCTTGGAATTCACAAATACTTGGCAAAAAAGGGGTAAAATGTAGGAAAAAGATCTATATAGTTGAAAAATATGGAGATATAGTGAACTGCAACTTACTTAGCTTGGAATTGAGGCATAGTTAATGTATTTGTTATAGATGCAATATTATAAATAATGAGTTCCTACACAGTGTGCTACTTAGTAATGCCTAGAAATTTATACCTTAAGTATGGCGGGGGCAACAGAATTGGGACCTCGAGATGAGAAGGATGCAATATGTGTTGAAACAGGTTTTCCAATATGAGTTCTAGTAGGACTCAGCTTTACTTGTGGATTCCTGCATTATATTTTAATGATGGTTTTAAGCACCAACAATGTGATTTAAGATTTCTCTGTACTTAGCAAAAAGAAAAGAATCGGATATCTTGGTTTACCTGGAATATCTAATGTAATCGAGTAATTGAGCTCCAATGTCGAAACTTACTCCAATACTTGGGAAGTCAGAAGCATAATAATCCAGGGTTCTGGTTGGATTCTTAGCAACAATCAATCCCAAGCCTCCAACCACCTGGACAACTTGTAGAGCAGTTCCTAAATCGGTCTCGTCTCCTTTAACCAGGAAGCAAAGCACCACTTTTCCAGCCGCCCATGTATCATTTGTATTTAAGGTGTCGCAATAGCTTCAAAATTCATAAATTCATGTTATTTAAGTTCGGGTTAAAAACAATAATCCCATATGGAGACACAGAATTAGCCCTTGTTATGGCATAAATAAGAAAGATATATGTTTTTTTAGATGAATTACAGTATCTCATCATGTACATACCGATTATCTTCAAAATCAGAGCTCTCTTGATGTACAATGCTGATAAAACCAGTCTCCTTTCCGGTATACAGGGATTGACCCTACAGATACAATTTAATTACAATTCCTTCTAGGTCTTTTCCTTCTGAAGTATATAATTTCTTCGATAAAGAAAGAGAACT